GATTCTTGAATGGCCCAACATGTACATCAACATAGTGATGGGATCTTCTTTGACAAGTTGCCTTGCTCCGCCACAGCATGCCGACACTGTTTACACACAATCTTGTAGCAAGTTTCCAGCCGGCCTTTTGATTGCACGCCCTCTCCATGAAGCTGTAGACAATCCTGCGGCAGTATAATAATAGCAGCAGGTGCAGAATCAGCGGCTAGGGTCTAGTGTTCCGTGATCAAGGAGCATGATCGATTCGAAGACCGGTAAACGCTATACAGCTGGAGCATTATACTTTGGCAAGATCGGAGGCATCACATCATTGTGAGACGCGAGCTTTCACTGCACGGATAGCACTACCGATGGTAGATTTCTGGCTGCCAGAACCATAAACTTTCCTTGAGTACAGGTACCTATACAGCCTATACATATAGAGGGTTATACACGATCCTGAAGCATATGTTTTCATTCGTGGACAGGAGCTCTTCTTAATATCTGAGGACATGAGGATGTTATGCAACCATGTGGGTGTTTAATCTTTTAGCACCGCGCATGTCTTCAGGGTTAAGCACGCGAATCTCGCGATTGGTCTTCATGCATCAAATATGCTGCTGTGTTGTCCAGCTATACAACCGGAGATATCCTAGCATGCGGACAGCGGACTGACGCACTTGATGTATTTACGGCGTGTTCCCACGCACATATACTGCGGCTGAACCCCAAATCCCTGATGCACCCTTAAAATGCCTTAAAATAACACGCAAACATTTCAATACTTTGAGAATTAAGGTTCGTTGAGAATTAAGGTTCGTGGCTGCGACACGAACTACCAATCCTGATCCCCACCCTTTCATTGAAATTCGTTTTTCCAGGCTCCTCGTTCTGCTTCCTCAACATGTACACCTCCGGCCGAGATGCTCTTCTTCCTGAAGGTTTGCAGTGCCGCCCCACTGTCCGTGTTGGCAGTAATGTGCGTATGCAAACAAACAGTGTGCTGCTAGTTTTGGAAATGCTACAATAACATATCATGTCCGTGGGTGTTATGATGTTATACCTTCACGAATTCTATTCGCTGCTCTCCTGCTGACGTTACGAGCACAACACGACTGGTGGTATGGAGAACTTGTCTCGTTTCAAAGACATGGCCGCTCAAAACCCTGTGCAATTCCCAGTCGATAGGGTCTGTTGTAGGATTCTTGCTGTGGCTCGGCGGCCAATCTTGCATCATTTCGAATGCACACAGCCAAGGTTTACAAGTTCCGTGTCCAGATGGCCAGCTTCGGGGCTGCCACAGCCAAGCCGTCCTATCTGTACTCCCAGCACACATGCTTCAAGGACGGTTTGAGGTTTCATAGCCGTGATGTCTCACTGGTCTGGAAATCAGGGGCAGGGCTATGCGCTGTGCACAAACCATGTATAGACCCACACGATCCGAACTCCCCGAAAACAGGAACTCGCCGACCTCTCTGAAAGCAGATCTACGACCAAGCACCCTGGGTGGAAGAACGTACGGAAGAACATCGTCAAGCGAGCGATGAACGACCTTCAGTGGCAAACTGTACATAACCAAGTTGTCGGGTTTAGGGAATGCATTATTATAATATAGGGTTCTTTATAGGGTTAACGCCTGAACATCAGTGTGTCTGATTCGAATCTGAGGCACACTTATCGCTACGTGCCCCCAACTTAGCTATAGCATGGGTTCTACAACTAGGGATGTCAAAGGAGGCAACCTTAGACACTATCGCATGTTTCCCGGTTAGATCCCAGCCACATTACGCACATGCGTACATACATATGAATGCTTCCAGCCAAACTGTACATATTTTTCTAGACATACATACCGACACACACGCATTTACATGTCTATGTATATCTGCGTGTATATGTATAGTATCTATGTGCATACATGTATGTGTGTATATGTTTGTTCGTGTGTACGTCTTCACATGTATATGTGTTTTTGTCTATATCTATATATATATATATATATAGATATACATATACATGGATATATGTGTGTGTACACGTGCATGTATATATCTGTATATATGTGTATATGTACATATGTAGGTATGTGTATATGTAGATACGTATCGTTTGATCTATATATCTATACAGAATTTGTATAGGCTTTTAGTACAATATTCACATGCGCGCCTATATATATATACACACACACAGACGATTGCTTTCTATGTTCGTGTGTACATGTGTGTGTATATATATAAATATATATATATATATATATATATATATATATATATGCTAAGGTGTAGCATAACACATTACATGGCATCCATGCACACTTTATATGTATACCGACATACACATATAATGTATACACACTCCCATAGTACGTTGATGTCGACCTCAAGCCCACGCATTAATGACGTAGAATCACCGCATGATGATGCCGGTGTATAGAGATGCCTTTCTTATTGTAAGCCTTATATTCTATACTCAATATATCGGGATATGGGGTGACACATCATGTAATACACGTGTGATCCCATAGTCGGGAATGACGAATCTCTAATAATCGTCGCATTTGTGTTCGTGCTGTGGTAGAATCTTGCATGCGAATACATCTCAGGAACGTGGCAACCCCACTGTGACTGGCAAGCCGAAGGACGTGAAGGACACTCAGTGCCCTTGGCTGCTGTAAGGTTCAATGGCTAAACACTATGTCATTATGCTGTTTCATTCAGGTTAGGCTTGCTGGGTACACCTGATTATCGTATATTCAACACTCAGGGGTTTTTCTCTTGCCATGTAGCTAGGGTCCAGCATACAAAGGGTTGGGCAGCTAGATCAACTGCTTTGACATCTCCAAACTCCAAGCCTTAGCACCATAAGTACGTGCTTCATTCATGGACGAACTCGTTGTACAAGGCACTGCGACCTGCTTCCAAGTGGACTTTACGCCTATAATCCTCTATGTAAGTTTGTTATGTTCCGTAATTCAGAAAGAGTTCAAGTCCGCAATTTGCGACCCGGAAACCGAAACTTCAAGTATCAAGCCTTCTGCGACGATCAACCGGCATATGTTTCGCCCATGAATATTACGCACTTCCTCGATCTAGAATTGACGTTGAGATAACCTGATCAATAAAGTTCCCGACACATCGATGGTTGTATTTCAGCCGGAGCCCTTCACTTGCAAACCGCACAATCACATCTGTTTTATTCGATGACTAATTGTTCTGGTCCCAGGCAATACACCCCGGACTTCGCCAAAGCGGTGCTCGATGCTTGGGCGGCTGCCAATTGCGAGGACGCTGGGACCTACACGTAGCAATCAGTGTTGGGCCGGGTTATATATCGCCGGTTGCGCTGGGATGTTGGTCTGCCGCTTTGTAGAAGTTTCTCGATTATGTTTGAGGAACCGGTAGGACAGAATCATGGACTTTATACGATTAAACTGATGCTGGGCTTTTCGTTAGGGTACGGTTTGCTGCAGCTTCGGTGTCCGTTGGCGAGTATTTCTGCATATATAGCAGGAGTTCGGGCTTCGGTGTCACGCGGATAGGACTGCGATGGGGTTTCCTCTATATATGAGCGCCATATAGTGTCCTGTATATCCTCTATATACGTACTCCAAAGCCTGAACCTTGAACCTACAGGTTGTAGTTTTCTTTCAACCTGAAGCAATATAATATAGACTTTAACATCCATCCGCACTTGGGGATGTTCTTCAACTTTGCCCTCCCAAATGATAGTTGGAGAGATAAGTTTGTTATAACTTGACCCATGCAATAGTTATTCCGCTTTATTGTGCTGTCAACTATATACCCCTACACCCCCAAGCCCGTACTAATGTACTGAGTACACGAATACACCCAGTCTGGAGCCCCGAAGCCGACACCTTGCTGACTGCTCGTCTGATAAAAGCCCCGCTGTATCTATCTGTTCGTCTTTGATATCTGACTATATATAGAGATATATATATATATATATGCAACTAACCATTTATCTCCCAAAGGCTCCATGTACCTTTGTAGTAGATACTTAAGCCCCAAAGTACTCCCTATATAGATACTTTAAGGCCTAAGTATCAATCTACTATAAGGGTACATGGAGCCTTAGGGTCTATTCATAAAAATAATCACAAAATAATGTCCCTGATATATATATATACATATGTATACATATACACTCATTTTATTAGAGCCCATCCATCCATCCAAATCTGGACGTCGCCTGGCCCTGGCTGCTGGCGATGAATCAGCCATCGTCGGCTCCACTCGATCGTTGCATCTTTGGAGGTTTACAATTCTACACTGGATTCCAGATTCTGCTTGATCAGGGTTTGTATCGTATCCCATAGATTATGGTAGAAGCCAGAAAGTTGGAACATTAGTATCCTCATGCCCTTAAGGTAAAGGAAACGGGCACTAATCCTCCTAAACTCATGTTCCAACTTTCTGGCTTCTACTGTAATCTAGCTAGCTAAACCTGAGTTTTGACGGAGACATCGCATTGAGGCTGTTTCGATGATCCTAGAGGCCTGAGAACAGTTCACAGAGAGGAACCCATTCAGAAAAAAAGAAAAACAGGAATCCTGTGCTGGATGCCACGAGCAATCGTGGCCACACGTGTTCGCTGCCGCTGACGACAACACGTACGACTTGAAGGCACAAATTACCTTGCTGTTTGCGGAGCCCATCGATTGGCAGGAGGACGTACTTAGGCGGCACTGAGAGAAACAAACCATCTCGGTACGTCTCCTGCCATTGCATGAGCTCAGGCATCGCTGCTACAGGTGGTGCACTTTATGCTGAATAGTGGAAAGCTAAGGCTGCCGAAGGTCTGGCCGAGCGATTTTGCCTAGGGCATCGCAAAGGTTTGTAGCCCAGCAACCTGGGGAAAGGCAATGCTGGGTTGTGCTTGCCGGGCGATGTCACGAAATGCAAATGTGGACTTCAAGAACAACAGCGTGCAACATACAAACATCATCAAATAGCATCTCATGATTCTGTGTGTGTGTTGGATCGACATCGCAAGGGCACAAAACCCTTTGTCGAAAACCTGTGAAAAAGCTGTCGAAAACAAGGGAAAATGCGTAGAATCTGTGAACTCAACATTTAGGACCCAAAACCTAAAAGTATGTTGCAAATAACATCCGAGTAACGTTTGATCACCATCATTATGCTGAAAACACACTTGTCGAAAACCTGTGAAAAAGCTGTCGAAAACAAGGGAAAATGCGTAGAATCTGTGAACTCAACACGTAGGACCCAAAACCTGAAAAGTATGTTGCAAATAACATCCGAGTAACGTTTGATCACCATCATTATGCTGAAAACACACTTGTCGAAAACATGTGAAAAACATGTGAAAAACAAGGGAAAATGCGTAGAATCTGTGAACTCAACACGTAGGACCCAAAACCCTGAAAATCGTGTTCGCGATGGCATCCGATGTGCTTCGGAGCTTGTGAGATTCGTTCAGCATTGGTTCGCGATGGATCAGTCATCCTTGTTTCTTGTGCTGCTTGTGTGGAAATCAAGCATTGCAGTCTGTAGTGACGGCTTTGAGATTCGCAATTCGATGATGGGGAAACCCAAACCTGCCGGCAAACCGCCGGCTGTGCTCCCGGCGGCTGCAGCTTCCGATGCTTGCTATGTATACACACACACTATTGCTTGTGTGTTGGTATGTTCTCCTATATACATATCTATATGTACGCAAACAAATCCGAGGAAGTGACTTCCTCGATCGATGCTTTGCTGCTGGGTCAGATTGGGCTTTCTGCAGAGCAACAGGAGATGGTGCGGCAGAAGATGCCATTCGGCGTCACTACCATCCTCCCCATCCTCTCTCCTCTCCTCTCCTCTCCTCTCCTCTCCTCTCCTCTCCTGTCCTCCTACTCTATAACAGTAATAATACATAAATAAATATAAATATATATATATACACACACACACTATAAGCACGGGGGTTGCTCTTTCCACGGCACACATAAAAATAGCACACGCGGGGGCGGGTGGGTAGGTGTTGGGCACAAAAACACACCGCAAAAAATTCGCGAGCGCTACCGCGGGGGGGGCCTACCCCCTTGGAATATTCGGAACACACGTGCCTGGGCACAAAAACACACCGCAAAAAATTCGCGAGCGCTACCGCGGGGGGGGCCTACCCCCTTGGAATAATCGGAACACACGTGCCTGGGCACAAGAACACACCACAGAAAATTCGCGAGCGCTACCGCGGGGGGGGCCTACCCCCTTGGAATAATCGGAACACACGTGCCTGGGCACAAGAACACACAACAGAAAATTCGCGAGCGCTACCGCGGGGGGGGCCTACCCCCTTGGAATAATCGGAACACACGTGCCTGGGCACAGAAAACACACCGCAGAAAATTCGCGAGCGCTACCGCGGGGGGGGCCTACCCCCTTGGAATAGTCGGAACACACGTGCCTGGGCACAGAAAACACACCGCAGAAATTCGCGAGCGCTACCGCGGGGGGGGCCTACCCCCTTGTAATCGGAACACACGTGCCTGGGCACAGAAAACACACCGCAGAAAATTCGCGAGCGCTACCGCGGGGGGGGCCTACACGGAACACACGTGCCTGGGCACAGAAAACACACCGCAGAAAATTCGCGAGCGCTACCGCGGAGGGGGGCTACCCCCTTGGAATAATCGGAACACACGTGCCTGGGCACAAAACCGCACCACAGAAAATTCGCGAGCGCTACCGCGGGGGGGGGGGCTACCCCCTTGGAATCATCGGAACACACGAGCCTGGGCACAAAAAAACAACACCGCAGAAATTTCGCGAGCGCTACCGCGTTGCATGGAAAAGACCACTGACATATGGAGGGGAAGCGGCGAGGCTGGTCACAACGCACACCACAAAAAATCGCAAGCGCTATCGCAGGGGACAGGCTGGGTGTGCCTGCGGGCACAAAACACAAACACAAAAGCGAGCGCAACCCGCAGCTCGGGGGGACTACATATTAAGCGACAGGTGGGTGCCGGAGGCTACTTATTGTCATACTGCCATGGGAAAGGGACAGCAGGTACATAAGAATGCAGCCGCGGATTGAGCTTCCCTTTGTGGTATTTGCCGGATCAATATTGATATACCTATGTAAACATATATATGTCATATATAATATATGTGTGTATATACATATATATATATATATGTATAGAGAGATTATTTCTCAATGAATTAATTAAGAAGTTCTGGATAGCCTTAGATTATAGTATATAGTCTTGCTGATTATACAAGGTCAACGATGCTGCAGCCACGTGATGGTGCTGTTCCACAGCTGAACCTTCCAGCAGGTGGACCGCAGCAGCACCAGCTGGCAGCTCCTAGTGCAGTTCCCCCGCAGAACCTTCCGCCAAGTGGACCGCAGCAGCAGGTGGCAGCTCCCAGCAGTGCAGTTCCCCCGCAGAACCTTCCGCCAAGTGGACCGCAGCAGCAGGTGGCAGCTCCGCCTAGTGCAGTTCAGCAGAACCTTGCGCCGAGTGGACCGCAGCAGCAGGTGACAGCTCCTAGTGCAGTTCAGCAGAACCTTGCGCCGAGTGGACCGCAGCAGCAGGTGACAGCTCCGTGTGCAGTTCCGCCGCAGAACCTTCCGGCAAGTGGAGCGCAGCAGCAGCAGGTGGCAGTGGCAGCTCCTGGTGCAGTTCCGCCGCAAGTGGACCGCAGCAGCAGGTGACAACTCCTAGTGCAGTTCCGCAGAACCTTCTGGCGAGTGGCCCCCCGCAGCAGGTGGCAGCTCCTAGTGCAGTTCCGCCGCAGAACCTTCCGGCAAGTGGAGAGCAGCAGCAGCAGGTGGCAGCTCTTAGTGCAGTTCCGCAGCAGAACCTTCCGGCAAGTGGCCCCCCGCAGCAGGTGGCAGCTCCCAGTAGTGCAGTTCCGCCGCAGAACTTTCAGGCAAGTGGATCGCAACAGCAGGTGGCAGCTCCGCCCAGTCCAGTTCAGCAGAACCTTCCTCCAGCAAGTGGACCGCAGCACGTGGCTCCGGGTGCAGTTCCGCAGAACCTTCCAGGTGGACCGCAGCAGGTAGCAACTCCTTGTGCAGCTCCGCAGCAGAACCTTCCACCAGCAGCAGGTGGAATGCAGCAGATGGCGGCTCCTTGTGCAGCTCCCCAGCAGAACCTTCCGCCAGCAGCAGGTGGACCGCAGCAGGCGGCAGCTCCGTGCGCAGTTCCCCAGCAGAACCTTCCGCCACAGCAGGTGACAGCTCCAAGTGCAGTTCCGCAGCAGAACCTTCCGGCAAGTGGACCGCAGCAGGTGGCAGCTCCTTGTGCAGTTCCGCAGCAGAACCTTCTCCTGGCAAGTGTACCACAGCAGCAGGTGATGACAGCTCCAGGTGCAGTTCCGCAGCAGAACCTTCCAGCAGGTGCGCAGCAGGTGGCAGCTGCAAGTGCAGTTCCCTGGCAGCAGAACCTTCCGGCAAGTGGCCCCCCGCAGCAGACGGCAGCTCCAAGTGCAGTTCCCCCGCAGCAGAACCTTCCGGCAAGTGGCCCCCCTCAGCAGCAGGTGCCAGCTCCAAGTGCAGTGCCCCCGCAGAACCTTCCGGCAAGTGGCCCCCCGCAGCAGGTGGCAGCTCCTAGTGCAGATCCGCCGCAGAACTTTCCGGCAAGTGGACCGCAGCAGCAGGTGGCAGCTCCGCCTAGTGCAGTTCAGCAGAACCTTCCGCCAGCAAGTGGACCGCAAGAGGTGACAGCTCCGTGTGCAGTTCCGCAGAACCTTCCGCCAGCAAGGACGCTCCTGCAGCAGCCTGGAACTCCCTCCATTTTGGAGATGGTGCAAGAGCTTGAAACGCAGATGGATCAGGAGGAGCCAATCAGTGTGAATGACACGCCCGAACCCCCGCCCCGGCTGAATCGCAGCGCTGTGTCAACACTGGCTTCGGCTGCTTCCTTTGATGACACATCAAAGGTGGCTCGAGTCTCCCAGGCAGGTTCCGTTGTTAATGTTGTCTGGAATATTCGCAAAACCTGAGTCCGTGGCCGGTCTATGTATACACCCTAAACCCTAAACCCTAACCCTTAAACCCTAGACCACGCACGACGTGTAGGATGTATCACCGTCGTATGGGACACATAATATAATGCATGCAGTGTGACATGTTCTTTCTGTGTGTGTTTTCTGGTGCCGACCGAAATGCGATCTGTCTCGCAGGACTTGGTTGCACCGGACACGTCAGCAGCACTGCTGGTGAAGGCACCGTCGCCGTCGCCGACTCCCGTGACGGCGAAAGCGAAAAGTGCGGCAAAGACGAAGCCGAAGGCTGCTGCTGTGAAGGACATTCACCACGTAGAGCAGTGATGGTTCGTGATATGTCAAGCCTTATGCAAAGCAGCTAATTGTGATTTTCTGCGATCTATAATAATTTGGCATGATTTTTCTTTGTATTTCTCATTCAACAGGATGAGTATGCGCTGCCGGAGCTGACCTTGCAGGAGAAGGCGATGTATGGCAACTTCTGGTCGCGGTACCGCTCGAGCAGCTCGCTGTCGTTGACCAGTGATGCGGATTCCGTCGACTCCGACATCAGCCAACCTGTGCCGAAGGGGCCGCCGGCAGTACCCCAGCCGATGCCGTTGCCGACTGTGCCGCTTCAGCAGCCGCCGGCAGTACCCCAGCCGATGCCGTTGCCGACTGTGCCGCTTCAGCAGCAGACGACAGCAGCTGCAGCAGGGCCGACGAGTGATGCCATGACGACGATGCTGGCGACGGTTCTCAGCACGGCGGTGAGCCATGGTGTTGATGCAGCGGGGCTTGCGGCCATTCAGCAGACCATGGCCAGCATTGTGGCTGCTGCAAAAGCCCCTGATGCTGCTGCTGGAGTCGAGGCCGTTGACAAGACGAAGATCATCGACTCGCAGCCGGCTTTGCCGCCAAGCCCTTTTTCGACGCCTTTGCCGGCCAGCACAGCAGCAAGCCCTTCGACGCCTTTGCCGCCGGCAAGCACAGCAAGCCCTTCGACGCCTTTGCCGCCGCCGAGCACTGCGAGCCCTTCGATGCCTTTGCCGCCACAGACCGCTGTGACGAAAGCCCCGCCGACAGGACCTGCTCCTTCGACGCCTTTGCCACCGCAGACCGCTGTGACGAAAGCCCCGCCGACGGGACCTGTGGTCAACTCAAGCACCCACAGGACTGAGTACCGCTCGTTCCAACGCTTTTGCGAGAACTCACCGGGAGCAGTGGAGTTGAAGAAGGTGTGGGTGCAGGGCGGACCGCAGCGCTTGGCAATGTTCCAGAAGTTTGTTCTGACAGGCTGTGGCCAGGCTTATATATTATTGTATATGCACTAACTATATGACGACGGGTATCGCCGTAGCCTCGTGTACTCTGTAGCTGAGATTATTAATGTACACGTTGTGTGTCTGAGAGTGTAAAGATGTATTCATCGATCCCGTCATCCCAAAGGTAACCCTGCGGCTTTGGAATGTGCCCTCCAGTTCCGCCGGCAGAGCGAGGAGGAGAGCAAAGACGAAGGTGGATCCGCATATTCCTATATTGAAGTTTTCTCATATTATAGCATATACGAAATACAGAAGATAATGTATATCCATATGTATGTATATATATATATATATATATACGTATAGCCGTGCTATATTTCTGGGAGTTTGTCGAATATGTGTGTCGTTTTTTTTGGAAGGTTTCTTAGTTGGTCTATGTGATGTGGTCATGCACAGGTGAATATTATTGCTGGCGTGATATACTCGCCTTTCACGAGGGCAACGAACAGAAGGCCTTATCCTTCATTGCAAGACGCAGAGCAGAGCCCAAAGGGACCGGTTGCGTGAAGATCATGTCTTGCAGTTCAGTTAGGGTACCGTGTGCTCCATAATAGTTAATGAAAACAGAAAGTGTCAGGACCAGTTGCGATCGGAATGATCCTGATATGGAGACATTTCTATATTACGGCCGCCAGCGACGGACCCTGACGGTTCGTACGATCGCGTCTTGGCACTTTTTCTACTGTCTCATGTCCGGATCCGGATGCTGTTGTATAGTAGTTCATGTCACGGTGCTGTTGGAAACAATGAGGACGAAATCGCAATCAGCATGGGCGTCTGCCCGAACTTCGCCACGTCCGTGGCGGCACAGCTGGACTCCATGAACGGCGCCCTGCCAGTTGCTGATGGGGCTACTTCTTCGGTGAACCCGCCAGTGCCGGCCCCCGGCAAGGCGGCTCCAAAGGGAAAAGGCAGTGCGCCTGCGCCACCCGGCACGACGACGGAAGACCCCCAGCCGCCGCCCAAGAAGGCGAAAGTTCCGAAGCCGGAGGCACACGCGTCGTGTGTACGTGATAGTCCCATGCATGCATGCACATATCCCAGCTCGATAGATAGCCTGCCTGGGCAGGGATCCGACATGGAGTTGATCTGCAGTGGAGAGAACGTTGGACTTTTCGTGAAGTCGTGGGTGGCCGCGGCGAACACGGCCCAGGGGCAAGCCGTGAAAACGTGTGCAGAGTGCCTAGGCAGGCGAACACCATGTTTCAGCGGGAAAGCCTTCTCGGTGCAAAGTTGCATCTGCTCCGAAATCTGAGGTTGGAGGTCCTCGAGAGCCAGGAGGCTTTGATGGGGAAGATTAAGGACTGTGCCGAAGGCATCGGGGCTTGTCGCAAGAAGCTCCAGCTCATGGGGACAGAGCCAGTGGCCGCCGATGTGCAATCGGCCCTGCTGGAGGCGACTTGGGCAGATGTTTCGGTTACGATGTGCAGTGTATGTGTGTGTGTGTGCAGACCTTGACCCTTGCCTCTCGGCACACTGCATGCGACACCTCCTAGGCTACCGTGTTTGTGGAGGGTTTCAAGAAGCATCTTCGAGTGGCGAATGGCCTGCTTCTTGCTTCAGATGTATATATATAGGATGTTTTTTTGTTGGCATGTGCAGCTTATATTGTGTGTGACAGTCGATCCATGTGAAGCTTGATGTTATTCGTAAAATAGATCACGATTCTTGTTCGGCTCAGGATCGCTTCGGAGCGACGTCCCGCGAATAAGACGGCCAAGAAAGCCAAGTCGGCTGCAAAGGCTGCAGCACAGGCTTAGGTCCGGATGCAAACCGAGGCGCATATATGGTAGCTTCTGCATATGGTTGTAGCCGGTCTAGGTATGATAGGTGGGTGGGTGGGTAGCGGTTGAGTAGGAAACATAGCACAATACGTCGAATCCTAAACAGCTAGAACCCTGTAAATCGTCTTATAACGAACCGTAGGTCCTAGCTGAGCCCTGTCTGTATGTATGTGTTTTCATGGTTTCTCGTTTTCGGAGTGGCATATACATCTATATATGTATGTAGTGTTTAGCATAGTGTGGTTTGGTTGCATCAATCATTCTAATTGGGACGTGTTGGTGTTCGGGGTTCATACCGCCTGCTGATACCATCAAGGTTCCCGAATTAACCGCTATTTTGCATCCGACCCATGGAAGCCTCCTTTTCCTTTCCTTCGATCTGCTGATGGCTGGAGGGTTGCTGTGCTCAGCACTCTGCCTCTGAAAAAACCAGTGTGCTCTGAGTGTGAGCGGGGATCGGCCAGCAGTTCATCTTTTGAGAACAGCATGCGCGGCACTCTATGTTGTGTGACTAGCTGCCATCGCAGATATACTCTTGCTACCTTGTTCCGGAAGTGTTTGTAGATCCTAAACCCAAAGCTCCAAAATCCTGCGTCCTAAGTCCGAAACACCGAAACCCTGAAGTTGGCGTTCTGCATCAATGATTAGTGTGCTGTGCATCTTACAGGAGGCCGCCGCATGCTGGAGTGCCTGGGGTTTGCAGTGTACTGCAGTCCTGCCTTGAGTCACTTCCGGCCGGCAGCATCAAGTGCGATCATCCCCCAAAAGCATTGATGCGGTTTGTGTAGTCGACTTGTCATGCATGGCTTGAAGCCTGAAGCGCGTGTCCTTGAGTCTGGCATCAGTCGTCCATGAGCATATGTGTGCACGGCCATGCTTCTTATGTTCGAGGTGCCAACCCAGCCCCATGTAGAGTTTTTGTTGAGTCATGCGATGACGTTCTCTTTCATTCAACCTCTGGATCATCGGTCACCTTGTAATACTACTTGTATGATTCACTCCCCAATGCGACCATGCACAATACCACCATGCACCATGCAAGACCACCCTATGCACTTTGGTATGCAACATGCCACTATGTATCACCATGCACCACCACACCCTACACGAGCCCACCCATGCAGCCCACCCTACACGTCATCATGGCTTTCCTTTTCGTGCTGTCTGACCCCAGCCTGGGCTCCTATGCCGCTGCTGAAGAGACTGGTTCATTTGAAAAAGAGCCTGGACAGAAATCAGGCGACTGCTGGCAGTGATGGTTCTGTTGCCAGAAGACCATCTTTTGCCGAGTTTTCATTGCGGAAAAGCGCGTTGAGCAGAACACTCGGTTTTCACGTGGGCCGGGGAGCCAGCTCCGGACTTCTTCAAGAAGTGGCGTCTGCGGCCGTCGCAGAAGCAGGGGATGCAAATGTGACCCCCAGTGCCTTGTTGCACAATGGTTATAATACCTTATATCATTGCATGCCTTGGCAAATCATGCACGCAGATGCCCGGTTCCAAGGTACCAGGTGGGCTGCGAGTTTGGGCGCATCAGGACGTTGTGCGCAACACATCGAGGAGCCACTGAGCAAGGCTGTATCTTGCTCGAAGAGCGATGTCGCCGGTCTGAATTATATTAGATGTCTAAATATAAATAATATATGTATGCCGTCTAAAGAACATGTCGGAATGTATGCAAGGATATCCGAGGCTCCACTAGTATGCCCTTTGAGTTCGGTGTCCCTCATGATGAAAGATATGCGTGCTGAAGCGCGACGAGAACAAGAAGTGCGACGACAAATCAATTGTCGCTTGAGGAGGGCTGGTTTGCCGAGGAGGCGAAACCCCAAGAAGAAGAGCAAGAGGGCCCAGTCGACTGAGAATAAGTGCATGCAAACGCTGCCGGTGCTGTTGCCTCATATTCTCTTTAAGAGCATGGTTTGCTCTGGCTTGATCGCAGAGCTGATGCTTGCTGGCATTGCATGCGTGCATATGCATAGATTGGAATAGATGCTCTCGCATGTTGGTGATGTCGTGATGTTTTGAATTCTCCATCCACACTGCGCAATCAATAAGGGCGGGCACTGTCGACTGGCTGGACTGGTGGCAGAAGGCCAAGAGCGAGCCATGGGGGATGCGTTTTTCTCGCAGCATGCAGGTGTGTGTGGACTGTGTCTTGTTTGTTTTCTAGAGTGCAGTACGTGGAATGTTTCATATGTCGATCCGGCAACATATACAAGGAATCATCCGGTGCAGTCCTGGCCGGAGGAGGCCAGGCAAAAAGCGGTGGCCGTGTCGATTCACGGCGATGAGGGTACTGGGAAGAGGAGCAAAAGCATCTTGATCCTGTCGCTTTCGCCCTTGGCCATCCACCGGGGCGACTCGATGCTGCAGAAGTTCCCGTTCTGTGTGCCCTGGCCGGTGTTTTAGATTCCTCTAATGCATCTATGTGAATTCCAGACGTCGCTTATGTATGCGTGCAGCGGATGTGCACATGCACACAGTGTGTGTGAATCATGGCTGAGGTTGTGCGATCAGACAGATTTGTCTACGACAACGGCCAGAATATCACGCTTCAGGCGCTACAGCGCTACTACGCCGATTCCTTTCGGATTTGTGGCGACCCCGCCAGCGAAGGCCAACACGGATGGACCATGCACCCTGTCATATCGAAGGGAGATTGGAAGCACAAAAGGGAATGGTTGGAACAATGTAGAAGCTACGGGAACCTTGCTAGCAATGCTCCTCGTGAGCAGAACGCCGGCAGAATCTGCCCGAGATGCTTGTGCGATGGCAGCACACCTGGAAAGCATTGGGCTGACATGCGTGAGGGCTTCGATAACCAGGCAGACTTGGATGAAGCTTCGAATGATAGTAGCTAGGCGGCATGGTGCTCTAATGCAAGTGTGGTGTGGAGCTGGCTTGAGTTGTGTCGCGGGTGTCACTTATTGCACGCGCTGCTTCGTTTGTCTTAGGCGTTGGTGCAAACATCGCGTCACCAGGCTTGACTTATGTTTGGAAACTTTTAACTTTGCGTTCAGGCTCTAGACAATTACCAAGTGCGTGTCCGCCGTGCATGTTGCGCCGCAAAGTGTCGTATTCGAGGATGTGGAGAATTCCTGGCTACCACCACTCCTGTGAGTATCCAGATTTGCTCCATTGCCTGTATCTGAGAACTGAGAGGGATGCCACTGCGTCTCATGTTATGGAGCTGGCGAAGTTTTCTCCGCAGTTTCAGGCTTACGAAACGTGGGATGAAAGGTTGCATCACCTGCATGTGGACTTTCAGATGTGGTGCACGGAGCACCATATCCGACCCAGCATTCTTGATGGACTGAGTCACCCAGCTGCTCGTATTTTCGGCTGCTGGAACCACTCCGTACTGACAATTCGTGCTGCATCCGCAAAATATATCTGAGGTTTGGTGAAGCTGGGAATCGATGCGGTCACATTGGAGTACCCGAAGGGGCCGGGAAAAGGATATGCAAACCGTGTCTTGTTGCTTGGCACACCAATAATTCAGCAGAGAGGGAGAGTATAGGGAGAGCGCAAAGGGAGCAAAGCACAAACATTGCATGTGCCTATATAAGGATGGCGTACTTAGCCGAACGGCTGTCTGCCTCTTGCCTTGCGATATTCTCTGCTTGACGATCTGCGGTCCACGCTTGTATTCAGCTGTGGTTTGTATAGGATTTGGGCCTAAGGAGGTTTGCCAAACGATTCCCGAGCTTCGATTGGCGGCAGTGAATGCCTGGTCGATCACAGCATTCTCGAATTTGCTGGACGCCTGCTCAATCTGGCTGTCGGATGAGCAGGCAATGCTGGCGCAGCAGAACCGTTGCTGCACCGGTGTTGCGTGTGTGTGGAGCCCTGTTGTGCATTGCCGAATTTTGTAGAAGTCTGTGATGATCCAAGGCTCGGCAGATGGTATTGCCACTCCTACCTGGCCCTGGCATCGCGATATCTCGAGATGCTGGAGCCACGGCCTCCCGTCTAAATATGTGATTACATGCAAGCATGGAGTGTGCTAACGATCAAGAATATGAGCAGAACCGCACTCAGGTATAAGATCAGGCCAAAGTTTCATCAATATCATTGCGAATGCGTTTGCAGATTGACATACAGCCGATTGAATCCCCGGTACGCCGGGTGCAATCTCGAGGAGGACTTTGTCGGCAAAGTCATGAAATGTGCCCGTGGGGCCGTGCACGCCGCTACGCTGTCGCTCCGAGTGCTGCAAAGGTGGCTCTTGCAGTATAACTGCTGGCTGGCGGGGCGGTAAAACAAGAAGCGGTTCAGTTCGATTCGTTGGGCAACTTTTGCGATTTCACATAGCTTGATATATTGCTCAGGCCCAACTATCATTTCGGGCAACATCTGAGTGAGATTTGCCACAGCTATAGGCCCAAATATCATTTCGCAGGGGCGCCCTATATATAGCTGCGTGAGTGCATGTGCAACAATTTTGCATAGCTTGATCTACGCGATGCCGCCCAAATAACATTTCGGGCAACATCTGTTGGCGCATTGGCTTGCCACTCATGCATGAGCGTGCATGGATGCCGGTAAATATAGTGGCTTGCGAGCAGTCGTGTCTGCGCTGGGGTGGGCTGGGCAATTTCAGATTTCGTGACAACCTAAAAACTTAAACCGCCAACTCCAAATATTATATATGTACATATATATATATTTGTACATATATAATATTTGGAGTTGGCGGTTTAAGTTTTTAGGGTTTCGGGTTTAGGCCTTCGCGTTTGGGGTTTGGGGTTTAGGGGTTGGTTTGAGTCTTCGGAATCTAGGCCTGCATATTCTCGCTGGAGTCTTCAGATATCATATATTTGGCCTCACATACTGTAGGGTCGGGGGTTTAAGCTATTGAGAAATTGGGCTTGGGGCTTAGGGCCTGCTTTTGCTCGGGGTACATGTGGGTACAAGATGTTTCGGATTTAGGGTCTGCGGGGCTTGGCATTTGATGTTTGGGGTTTGGGGTTGGAGGGTGAGGCTTTTCAGTTTGTCAGGCTTCCTCGGGTTTCGTTGATACGTTTAATTGTTTGCGTGTAGGCTTATAGTACAGCGGAATAATAGGGTTTGGGGTTTACTTCGGCCCGTGTTTGTGGGTTGGGTGCTTTGCTGGCGTTTATTGGCTTGATGATAGCCAGGGTTTATGGTGTAGCCGCGGTCTGATGGGTTAGGCCCCGCGGGGTGTGTAGGTTTCTAAGGGTTCGCGGTGGCTCCGCGCGGGGTGTGTAGTTTTCAGGGCTCGCACGGTGGCTAAATTATTTATCTGGGGTTCAACTTTGCTGTGGCTTCCGGAGTAAAGAACGTACTGTTTGTCTACGTACGTGTCACATTACTGCGATGCCCGAACAAATATCGCAGCTACTTTCCCCTGATGCAGCCTTTGTTTGTCCTGACTGCGGTTGCCACAATCTATACGGAATTACTTATTAGGACGTATCTACGTGCTTGACAACGCAATCGTGACTGATGTCATCCGATGCTTACGAAGCTTGGGCATTTCACGCGACATGTTTGCTGCATTCTGTGCGAAAGTGAGGAGAGAAGGAAGGGAAAGGTCTTTTTCAGGGTTTTGGGGTTCTTCTAAACGCTACACAACACATGTTTGCTTACAAAATACATACACATACTATATAATGCACACATGTATCTCTCCGTTTTTGCTTGAAATCCGCCAGAACTGTTTTGTTTTTTATTTTTTTTGTTTTTTGGCTCAAGTGGCTGCCTTCCATCACTCCCGGCTCAGGTCCCCCAACACGCAAGCCTCCGAAAGCACAAAAAACAGCGTGACGCTGGCCTGTCCTTAGAAAAAAAATGTACTTAAGTACAAATTTCCCAAAGGACAGGCGTGCAGGTGGTACCCTCTCACCACGGACCAGTGCCACCCAGTCTTCGCCTCCTTCCACACTGAGATGGCGGCCTTGCATGCAGCCGCCGCGTGGGTCAGCACGTACTGCGGCCTCCAGGAAATCTGGTGCCAGCTTCCATTACCGTTGCGGTCGACAACACTGCTGCCTTGTGTATCGCTGCAGGTCAGGCCACCGCACAAACTGAGGCAGCGTGCTCTCTCCGTTGCCTCTGGCAACTGGTACAGGCGCGGCAGTCCACTAGATTTTGCCATACACCGGGCCACTCCGGGATCCTTGTGAATGAGGTTGTTGACTCGCTGGCGGGGATGGCTTCCCAGGGGCTAGAATGGAACCATCTTCCGCGTGTCACGGCAGAGTCCTTGCGTTGTCTCCTTGTCAAACACGGGCCATGGCTGTGGGCATTGCACCGCTGTGTGATCCTCGGTGGCAGACCATGGCTCTGCCTCAGCGAGGGCCAGGACAGGGCCTCTGTGTCCAGCCGGGTCACTGATGCAGCGAGTCCGGCGGGTACTATGACTGTCACACCACAGCAGCCCAGCTTGACTGGCTTGACCCTTGTGTCGGCTAATCTCCAGACCATCAAAGATGACAGGAAACACTTTTTCTCAGCGGCAGGAGGGCAGCGTAGAGCTTTTCTAGTTCGGCAGGCAGACGAATTAGGAATCAATGTCCTCTGCTTGCAAGAATGTCGCAGCAATGCCGGCCGGTACGCCTCTGGTCCCTTCCTCACCTGGCGAAGCGGGCATGAAAAGGGACAATACGGTGTCGAAATTTGGGTGCGGCGCACTTGGCAAGGTCGGCAGTTCCAGCTCCAGGACTGGAGGATCCTCTCAGCCTCGCCCCGATAGCTACTTGTGCGTTGTGTCCTACCTGGGTTTCCCCTTGCCATTCTAGCCGCGCATGCTCCGCACGCCGACCGGCCTGAGTCGGAGATACATAGCTTCTGGGCGGCGCTCCGCCGTGCCTTGCATCCGCTTCCCCCACAAACAGTCGTCCTTGCCGGCATTGATGCTAATGCGGATTTCACGGCGCCTGACTTGGAGCAACGCTTGGTCGGCGATCTCCTCGCCACCAGACCCCCACGGGAAGGGGATCTCGAGCTTTTGTCCTTTATTCAGGACCATCACCTTGAAGCTCCGGCTACCTGGAGCTCCCTCCACGAGGGACAGTCCTGGACCTGGCAGCACACATCTGGCAAGCGCCAGCGACATGATCATGTTCTCATTGCTGCTGGTCGCGCGAAGGCCACTCGCTCTTACTGCCTCCCGGAGTTCGACATTGTCAACAGCACCCTCGATCACGTTCCGATTGCCTGCGATGTGATGGTGCAATGTTGTGCCCCAACTACAGGCACCCACCACTCAGTTGCTCCACCTGAAGCTACGGCTATGCACATCGCTGCCGATGTTTGGGCAGGGATGCGCTACCAAGGAGGACCACAAAGAGCCACTCAGGCGCTGGCTACGAGATACCACCGTCTTGCGCGGCAACATCGCAGCACTGGCCGGGTCGCCCCTCGCCAGCCATACATTTCGGAGGAGGCGGTCGATGTGCTGACTGAGCTCCGGACTGACAGGAAAACTCTGCGCCACCGCGCACGAGTCTGCATGCTTAACCAATTGCATCTTGCTTTTCGTGCCTGGCGCATGCTGCGCACACCCGTCACCCATCTTCGCAATTGCGTGCGCAATGGTAATCGGGCGTATGCTCAGGCATGGCTCCGAGTCCTCAGGGGAAGAGAACATGCCCATGCTCTGGCCCGGCGAGATAAAGCAGAGCACTTTCGCCAGCTTACGACCAGTGCGACGGACTTTTGGCTGAGCACCGGTAAAGCTATGGAAGCCACTCACCGCCTCCGCTGGGCATTTCGAAAGGCGGCAGACCGCCGCAGGGTCTTTGCTGCCGGAGGCCACGACATTGATGCTGACCTCCTCTCGCAGTTTCAGCGACAGGAGGCTGGCAGCCGAGTCACCCAGCACGGCCTTCTTGAG